TTTCCTTTGAATGTGATCCGCTTCTTTTCTCTAGCCGCTTTCAGAGTATTATTCTTTCGTTGAATTTCTGGGATCTTGACTATTATATGTCTCGGTGTGTTTTTCCTTGGGTTGAGGTTACTTGGCATTCTGTATGCTTCGGTTACCTGAATGTCAGATTGTTTCCTCATATTTGGGAAGTTTTCTGCTATTACTTCTGCCCATATTTTTTTAATGTCATTTTTATTGACTTCTTGTTTCTCATTGATGCCTATTAATCTCACATTGTTCATCTTTGCATGATCTTGCAGGTGATGGATTATTCTTTCCTGCATCCTAGTGGTTTTTAGGAGATCCTTTCTTACCTTTTCACTAGCTGCACCAGCACCTTCAAGATCTGAAACTCTGTCTTCACTTTCACTTAAATGATTTTGCAAGCCTGTCATTGAGATTTTAATTCCCTCTATATCTCTTTGATTCTGCTTCATGTGATATATTTCTTTCCTGTATTGCTCATTCAAGGAGTCTGTCATTTTTCTAATTTCCTCTATTTTATCAATGTCTTCTTTAGAAGCAGTTAGAAATTCTTTTACTGCAGTTTTTTTTTTTCTGATTGGGTCTCCTCCCTATGTTTCTGTAGTTGATTCTCTATTTCAGATGCTATGAGTTCTGAGAATTCTTTTTTTATTTCAGAAAAAAATTCCACTCTGAGTTCCTCTATAACTTTCTGCTGTTGCTTATTTACTATGGACGCTATTAATTCGTACATTTGAGCTGAGCTAATAGAAAAGAATTCCACTCTGAATTCCTCTACGACTTTCTGCTGTTGTGTAATAACGTCGATTACTATCGACGTTATTAATGCATACATTTGAGCTGAACTAGTGTCCTCTGCACCTGTTCTGGGTGGGCACTGGGTTTCCTCCATATGTTTCTGCATTTGATTCTTTACTGCAGATCTTAATTCAGGGATTTCTTTTTTTATTTCCAATCTGAGTTCCTCTATACCTTTCTGCAGCTGTTTCTTTATTTCAGACGCCGTTGATTCATTGTTTTCAGCTATGTGATTCCCAATTTTCTGTGTTAGTGTCCTCTGCACTTGTTATGGGTGGGCTTGGGTTCTTAAACTGCATTTTGTTCCTTCTCATCATTTTGTGTAGCACTGTCTTCCGACCTTTTTTGTAGATCTTTGTTGCAGTTATAACCTTAGCACTTACTGAAGTTCAGGTGCAGATCTACAAAGTTTGGATATATCTATCTGTGCCTGGCTTAGGTCTACCTGCTGTGCTCAGCTCCTTCCTGCTGCTACCCTTGGGGTTGAACCTGTTATGCCCCTCTGGCAAGATGTTCTGCTCCTGGACTAGCTGGGTGGTTCTGTCCCCTACACTCTCTGCAGGGATAGCAGCTGCAGGGTTTTGCCTAGGCCTGTATGCCAGGCCTGAGCTGAGTCTGGAGGGGACAAGGTGGAGCAGGGGGGAGGAGCAGCTCTCCCACACACTCACCGTGCCTGGACTAGGACTGGATCTGGGGGTTCCTGGAACGGGGCAGAAATTCCTACTTTATGGGCAGGGTATGGGGGGTTACTTCAGAGTCATGGGGGGCGTCCCACGTGGGTGAAAGAGTGTCACTAACACTGTGCCTGGGTTTGGACCAGTAGGTCAAGCTAGCACAGGGTAGTTGGAAGCTGTCCCACACATTCACCAAGCCTGGGCTAGGACTGGATCTGGGGGTTCCCGGAATACGGCAGAAATTACTACTGGGCAGATGGGGTAGGGGAGGAGCTGCAGAGTGGTAGGGGGCATCCCAAAGGGGTGGAAGAGGGTCTCACCCACACTGCGTCTGGGCTGGGACCACCGTAGGTCCCATCGGCACGGGGTAGCCGCAAGAGAATAATTTTCAAGAAAAATCAGCTGAAATAATTATATTGCAATTATTGAGACTTACTGTGAAGTTATGATAAATCTTTTGTAGTGGTAGAAAGATTAACCAAGAAAACAAAGGATCAGGGAAAAAAAGCTCCAGAAAAGATGCACACATATTGAGGATTATAAAGGTAAGAAAGCACAGCGGTGAGGTAAGAATGAATCAAATGGATACCTTTGCAGGGGAAAACTCCCAATACCATGACTGTCCCTTGCTCCTCAAACACACCTTAAATAAAGCTAGTTCTAGTTGGAGCACAGATATAAGGGAAGAGGCAAAGTGGTAAAATTTCTTGAATAGTACATTATAGGCTATCTTCATGATGGATACCCTTTATGAACAATACAAAAAGGAAAAGATAATCTGTAGTATAATTAAGAAATTTGAGTGCCCAAAAAAGTACCATGACGAGAGTAGAAAAAGTTTACAAAATGAGTATTTTTAAATTAAAATGACCTAAAATGATTTGTTTCCATCATACATACATAATTTCTATAAATCAGGGGCCAGGGAACAAATCAAACTACTAAGTCAACTGATAAATGGGCAGAGGATCAGAGCAGGTACTTCATAGGAAAAGATATTCAAATAGATAATAAGCTAACCATAACACTGGTTAGCAGGGAAATAAAACACAACTAGATTATATTATAGTCTCATCAGAATGTAGTGCTTTAACTTTAAAAGTATAACCAGGCCAGGTGCTTGCAACTAAATGGAGCTTCAACATTTTTATACATTGTTTTTGGGAGTGTAAATTTATTCAGCTGTTTGGGAAAACTACTTGGCAGTATGCACTAAAGTACCTCAACTGCATTTCCTATGATGTAGCAATTCTATTCCTAGCTAGACACAGCTGAAATATTTTAAATGCTTACACACCAGTGAAAAAATATTAAAACAAGTATACTGACAGCTGTATGAAGAGCATTATTAATATTAGCATGCTGAAACTGTCCATGGATAAATTACGATGTATGCATGTAATGGAACATGAGATAGCAATAAAAATTGATCAATTGCAGTGAATTTCAAAAACATACTTCAGATTGAGCAACATAACACTAAGGAAAACAAAATTCAAAAACTGAAAAATTCTTTCACTTATACCAAGTTTAAAACAAGTCAAACTAATGTACAGTGCTCAAATGAAGGAAAGTGGTTTCTTTCGGAGATGGAAGACGATAGTCAGCCATTCACAGCTTGACAGGACCTACGTTACAAATAAGGTTCCATTTCTCCGTCTGGTTCCACCTGAGCATTTACTGCTCGAGAATGTGAGGTGTGAATTTCCTCTGTAAATGACTAAGATGTGTACAGAAAATGATAAAGGATTATTTGGCAGCTCCAGTTCAAAAAATCTATAGAGAAGAAAGTTTTAAGAAACAATGGATTGAAGTATGACAGTAAGCACATCAGATCCTTTGTCAGTGTCAGCCACATGGGTGAGTCACAGCCATTGCTTGACCAATTTGCTCTCTGTGACAGCCTGAGAGAATGTTTTCTCTCCATGTGACTCTCCTTAGGCACACTGACAAAGGATCTAAAAACTGCGGTACAGGGTTTCAGGGTAAATCCTGAGGGCATTTCACTGACCTTGGCAGATACAAAAGTTACATTTCTTGTTGTATAGGTCTTGCTTTATCTTGGTCTTAACCATCCAGCACAAAAGTATAAAAAGGAGATATAGAAAGTAAAGCCCTATTAGTATGCTGAGCTGTAAAAGGCTCAAGTCAACAATTTCTGACATTGCCAGTCCTATAGATAACCCACTACTATTATGGAGTACTGGACTATATTGGGTTAATTTGCTGAATTCATGCACCTACAATATTTAAGTGGCAATGGAATATCCTTCTCTGACAAAACTAAACAAAAAAAGGGGATACAAAGGAAGGACCATTTTGTATCTGTATATACAAAATAGGATAGATATACAGCTACTTTCTCTTAATTCAATGAGAAGAAAGATTTGTATTAATGCTGTTTAGACAAGATATCATGTCTGCATCTTGTACTATGAATAATCACTATGAAGACAACAATATGCAATGTATTAATTATTGAAACTGTCTTACTAATCAGTTTTGAAACTGTCTCTTTGTTTCTCAATAAAATTAATTTTAAAAAAGACAGTAAGCACATCAGTAGTCAGGGATGAAAAGAGTAGAATACAAAAGCGTAGGAAGGAAATTTGGTGTGGTAATGAAACTGCTCCTCACCTTGAGTGTGAGACAGTCGGTTACCCTACTGTATGCATTTTCCAAATTCATAGGACTCTACACTAAAAAGAGAAAATTTTGTTGGACGTATGTGATACCCTCAATAATAAAAAATCAGAACATCTTCCTGAATGCAATTATACAATTTCTCATGTTCAATCAATGAATTGAGAAAAGAATATTTATTTTGAACATTAATTTCTGAGGCATCCTGGAAAGCAGCTTGCCTTTACTAGATCTCAAGCTTATTCACATTCATTCAAACCACATTATCCTGTTCTGTCTATGAACATGAAAGGATGAAAGTAAATCAAGGTTCACTATGAACACAACACACATAGACAGACAAACAGGCAACCATCAAATCTCTCCCTTGAGGAAGTTCGAAAACCACAGGACTTCCAACTTAGGAACAGGGTCTTTTGAGATGCAGGGAAGTATGAAACCTCCTTTGCTCAAAGGTATTAATTTAATTAAATTGTACATGTTTTCTTATTTTTCAGTGCTGGAGCTTGAACCCAGGACTTTCTGCCTTCTAGGCAGCTCTCTCTACCACTGAATAATACTCCTCACCCATGTTCAGTAATATTCTGAATTCTGAAACATTCAAAGATCTATCTTATATACCCTGGCAAATGCTAGATAGTAATGGATAGTTTTTTTTCTTTTCCACAATGTTGTCTTAACCTCCCTCCTGAGAAGAAGAAAAGGCGATATGTAGCTGCCTTTTACCTATTCCACAGCCTCCCCGTTGAAAAATTTCCCCACATTTTGTGGCTGGAGGGTACACCCTAAGCTAGTAGTGCTGGCCATATAAGCCAGCTGCATTTGTACAGAACTTGGCATAAGCAGATATTCACAAGGAAAAACTCTCACCACTTGTGCTGGAACTTGTTCCATTTTTGCAGCAGGAGTTCCTGGTCTTGGGTAAAATTGGTTAATGAAGAGGCTTGGAAATTTGTACTCTTCAACAAGTTTCACTGTTTCTTGAAAATCCTGATCTGTTTCTCCAGGAAAACCACAGATAATATCTGTAGCAATAGTTATTCCAGGAACTCTAGAAAATAACAGACAAAAATAAAAAATGTTGACAATAAGCCATAATTATTCTATTTCCCAGGCATTTTAAATACCATTAATTTCAAAATTATCTTTTACTTTTAGGAAAGAAATACTTGCAAAAGCCCCAGATATTAAATGTTTACAAAGAAAAACGGCAGCCCCTTGCCATCCTCAAAGATTCTCACTTTTAATTCTTGTAGCTGTTTCTTTCTTCTGTGTTCTATATTTTAAAATACATGCTTATTCTGTTGTTTCTAGATTTACTGAATTTTAGGCAACATTTATTGACTATTCTACTATAGTAAATAGGATTTAACTCTTAAAATAATAAAACTCTACTCTCACCAGCAGAATTGGCACATAATCTCCAGTTGAATTAATAGTACTTGCAGTGATACAGCTACAAAGATATTGCTCATTGCAAAGTAAACAAATAAACAAAAAAGTTTTGTTTTTCTACCACATTTACTTTTTCCTAGAGTTAATACTTGCCTTTTAAAATTTCTGCTTAATATTCTATGTTCCTATGCTAATGTTATCCACATGTTCCATCACACCTATCAAAAAGCAACATTATTTCTAAACATTCAGTGCATTATATAATCCCCCCCAACCCCATTCTACTTTCTTCAGATGTGTCAGCTTTTGCAATTAACTGGATACTATCCTTGGGTAGTGTGCCTTGGTCTCCTTTTGTTCAATACCTTTTCCTGGATACTGCATCTTTTTAATTCTTAAGTAACTCCCCCCTCTGCTGCAGTGTGAAAGCATGCTGCTGCTGTTACGTCCTAACATGTCTAAGCATGTCTGTAACCACACTACCTACTGGCAGTGAGGCTATGCTAACACTCCTGAGACTAACGCTTGGAATTCTGTCTTCCATTGTTGCTGTGTTGTTTAAGCTGGCCAGATTGTCAGTTATGTCTATTTATTTTGATGTACACTTCCTTCTTTGCTTTCTTTCCTTCTTTCTTGCAGATCAGCATGGCAAGTGAACTCAGCAACTTACATATGCTGAGCTACACACCCTGACACATATATACATTACTCTATATTAACTTTTATCATCAATGTTTTTTAACTTCCATAACAATATGCCTTGGATTAACTCTAAATGTATTTACATGTAACAATCTTGAGAACATGGTTTTACAACTGAAATTGTCTTATATTGTTTAAAAGTCTTTCCTTCTTTTTAGGCAGAATCTTGTTTTCTTTTTTTTTTTTTCTTAAAGCAGGAACTCACTATTCATCCAGGATGACTTTGAACTAGCAATGTTCCTCCTGCCTCTGCCTCCCAAGTAAGTGCTGAGATCACAGGCATGTGTCACTGTACCTGGCTTAATTTTTATTTCTTAGAGACTCCTTTCCTTTGAGTGTTGAAACTGCTGGGTTAATTCCCAGGTTTTCCTCTATTTTCCATCTTTGTCTTTTTATTGTACTTTCTGGAAAATTTAAGTAAGCATCTTTTAAATATCTAATTAAAAAAATTAACTCAATATTATTGTTTAAAACCGTTCTTCAGTTTTAATTCTGATACCATCCTGTTTCTGTTTTTGAGATGCAACATGTTTTTCTTATTTATCAAAGAAAGGGGTCAGGGAGATGGCTCAGTAGTGTAAGCGCTTCCCTGGCAAGCACAGGGGACTGAGTTCAATCCCTGGTTCCATTAAAAAAAAAAAAAAAAAATTGCGGGGGTTGGGGGGGAGCTGCCCTTAGCTCAGTCATTTAAGTGCCTGTTTAAGCAAAGGCAGTCAGGAGTAGGATACAGAGGTTTGATCCCTGGTTAGTCATGCCCTTCAGGCAGCATGAGCCACAAAAATAAATAAATAAAT